TGATTACCAGAATGATTGTCATCGCGTCTACTCTTATCATCGTTATCATGACCGTCATCATCATCATCATCAGCAGCAGCAGTAGTGGGATCATTACCATGTACAGTTTCAGCAGCGGAAGCGGAAGCCGCAATAGCAGAAGCCACATGAGCGTCATCAACGCCATCGTTTGTGCCATCTGCGTCATTGCGGCAGGAATTTCGAAGTTTATTGAAATCGTTACTGCCTTTGTCGCTCCTTGGCTCTATGACGTCATAATGATTAACTCGTTGAATTAGTAATGTGGATGATGATGATGATGATGATGATGATGATGATGATGTAGGTTGTGATGTTGTTGTTGTTGTTGGTTGTGATGTTGCTGTTGTTGTTGGTGGTAGTGGTGGTCGTTGTGATGATGCTGTTGTCGGTTGTGATGATGATGATGATGTTGTTGTTGCTGGTTGTGATGATGAAAATGTTGTTGTTTGTTGTGGTGATGGCAATAATGATGGCAATAATGATGATGTCGATTTTGCTTTCAGTAGATGAAAAGATATGTTTTCTCTTTCCTGAGAACTGGTGTCTAAAGAGTTGTTGATGTTATTGTTGATGTTGTTGTTGATGTAGTTGTTGATGTTGTTGTTGATGTTGTTGTTGTTGATGTCGTTGTTGTCAATTTGACTTTTAATGTAACCGTTATTACTATCATTGTTGTAATAGTCAAATGCGTTGTTGTTTATGTTGTTGTTGTTGTTGTTGTTGTTGTTGTTGTTGTGTACCGAACTATTCAAGTTAATATCGCAAACGCTTTTGTAGTTAAGAAAGTTGTTGTCGTCCCTACTGATTGCAGACGACGTGCTACTGTCGTTACTAATGTTGTTGTTAACATCGGTAATGTTTTTGATGTCATCTCTGACGTAGTTGTTGTTGTTGTTGTTGTCATCGTCACTGTTTTTTCTATCAACTTTATAGTAATGGATCTTGTCTGAATTGATAACATTATTCTCAACTATTAATTTCATTGTATTCACTCTGGATATATCAGTTTGGGCTGGTTTGCTAGTGGCATTTTTGTTGATGTCATTACTGTTATTAATGTGATTGTTGTTGTTGTTGCTGTTGTTGTTGTAGTTTTGAAGATTTATGTTGCTAAAAATAATTTTTTTGTTATTTATACTGGGGTCCCAGTTTTCGCTGTCTTTGTATTCTTTATCTATGTTTTTTGGGGATTTTAAAAATTTAAATTTAATTTCGCCCGCCAGTAAAGGAGAATGTGTTTGTTTGTAATATATCATACTAGGCTGGGTAAGTTGTTGTTGTTGTTGTTGTTGTGTTGTTTTATTTGCTGTTGATGTAGATGATGTTTTTGTGGTTGTTGTTGTTGTTGTTATATTTGCTGTTGATGTAGTTGATGTTTTTGTTGTTGTTGACGTTGCTGTGTTTGCTATTGATGTAGTTGATGTTTTTATGGTTGTTGTTGTTTTTGTCTTTGTATTTGCTGTTGATGTAGTTGATGTTTTTGTGGTTGGTGCTGTTGTTGCTGATGTTGTTGTTTGTGGTGTCTTAATAGCTGGAAAAGTTGAAATTAATGGCGCGGATGATGAAGACGATGGCGGTATTGATGTTATTGGATTCAATTCAGGTGCACACAGAACGTTGCGTAAGTTAGAATTTTTGTCAATTTGACGTTGATGTTGTTGTAGTTTGCGTTGTTGATGTTGTTGTTGCTGTTGTTGTTGTTGGCTGTTTGTAGTTTGGTGATTTTGTTTGAATTGTTGATGCAACTTTTTAAAATACGACCCAATTACTGAAAATTTGTGAAGGTTTAGTTGCTGTTGCGGTTGTTGTCTCGGTTGCCGTCGCGGTTTCAAAAACGGTTGCGGTTGCGAAAATTCTGACATCTCTTGCTCCCGAGAGCAGTCTAATTGTTGATAATCCTGATTGAACTGGGTGTCACTTTGAGAATCAAGATGTTTGTAACTGCCTCCGGTATGTTGATCATACTTCTTGCCTGGTTTTGTAGAGAGGATAGGTGTTGAGAAAACTGAAGGAGTGAACTTGCAATCCGAGTCATTTTTATCAGGAGTGAACTTGCAATCCGAGTCATTTTTGTCATTAATGATGAAAGATGAGTTATGCCCAGGCAGTGTCTGCCCTGTTTGAAGAATGGATCAGATCAAATAACTTCACTAGCACATTATCAAACAATGTTTACAATGTAATCATTACATCATTATCATTTCATCGTCATGACGTTATAGTACCGTGATATTATAAAATATGACATCACGATTATCTTGGTATTATCGCTACGTCATCTTGACATCTTTATGACGTCATCATGATAGCATCGTAACATCATCGTGACGTCACCTTGAAACCATCACAATATCGCCACGTCATCATCGTGACGTCATCATCACCTCTTTTTATTTACCTTCGGAGCATCTTGCCATTTGAACTTTTTTCAAAAGATTTCCATCTGCATAGGTCTCGAGCGTCTTGGATCTTGATGGCACGTTCATGTTATTCATGTTGCTGTTGTTTTTGTTATTGTCGTCACTGATGATGTCATTGTTGATATCTTTGTTGTAAATGTCTTTGTTGTTGCTGTTGTTGTTGTTGTTTTTATTCCACTTAAATATATCATCTAAAAAAAATTTTCAAAAATAAAATAATTATTGGAGGGGACCATATTTTATACAGTACCACATAAATTCTACCGAATTGTTGGCATTAATCAATTTAAAGTTTGTCTTTTCAATTTTCCTTATTAGAATTTTGGTATGTTCTAATTCTAGTGAGAAAAACTAAAAGACAAATTTTAATTTGATTAATGCCAACATCAGAAAAAAGCATCGAAATCTGAACAACAACAGTAACAACAAACTTAAAAACTGCAACAACAACAACAACGAAACAACAGCATCAACATGTAAGCAACATATCATCACCATCAGTCAGAATCATCGTTGACGTGACGTCATTCACTTCCGGCTTGGGACGGCCGAGAGAAAAACAAGATGGGTGGAAGTTTGGATTAATAGACGTATTATTGTCATCGTCATTGTTGTTGTTGTTCATGTTGTTGTTGATGTTGCTGTTCATGTTGTTTTCGTTGTTGTTGTTTGTGTTTCTTTGCAGAAATTTAGTGTTGATTTTGTTGGTATGGTCTTTAATACCAGATACATAGGCTAGATTAGAATCTGAATAAATGTCTTTTAAGCCGCATTCGCTATCTATGAATGTTGATGATTCTGTTGATATTGTTGTAGATGTTGTTATGGCTGACGTTTTTGTTGTTTTTGTTGTTGATGACGATGTTGTTGTTGTTAATGCTACTGCTGATGGTGTAACCGTTGATGAGATGGTAGTTGTTAATGTATTTAATGTATTTGTTGATAATTGTGATTTAATTGTTGTTGTAGTTGTTGTTGTAGTTATTGTTGACAGCGTAAGTAAAGATTTTGATGTTGATAATTGCAGCTCTTTCATTTGTGACTGGTTTTCAATTACCTCATTTACCTGGTTGTCTAAAATCTCATCCGAATGTTCTGTCCGGTTTTTGCTCACTGAGTTCGTGTGATTGTTGTTATCATTGATGATGTTGTTGTTGTTGTTGTAATTGATGTAACTGTTGTTGTTGTAATTGGTGTAATTGTTGTTGTTGCAATGGATGTTGTTATTGTTGTTGTTTTTGTAGTAATTGTTTTTGATGTTTTCGTTGTTGTTGTAATTGATGTAATTGTTGTTGTTGTTGATGTTGTTGTTGTTGCTAGCAACGCTAAATATTATGTTGTTGTAATTCGCAGTTACGCTGCAACTGGCGTTTGCTTTTTCGTTGATGTAATTGATGTTTTTGAAGATGTCGTGGTGGTTTTTATCGTCATGAAAATTTAAATATTCATTAGAAATTTTATCTTTATTTTCAGCTGAAAAATCATCATCAGCATCACCACCATCATCGTCACCATCATCATCGTCGTCTTCTTCATCAAATTGCGTCATCAGGTTTTGCCTAATATTCAAATAACTTTCGCGGAGACGAATTGGTGGGCGCTGTTGTTGTTGCATTTGTTGTTGTTGCATTTGTTGTTGTTGTTGGCTTTTAAAGTTTGGATGGTGCTGTTGTTGTTGTACGTTATGATGTTGTTGTTGTTTTGGCAAGTTTCGAATCTCAAATTGAGTTTGATGATTTTGAAAACTTACAGGAATATGTCGTTGCTGCAGTTGGCAATGAAGGTCATTGAGTCGTTGTTGTGGTTGTTGCTGGCGCTGAAAATTTCTCTCCTGAAAAAGATTAAATTTATTTTGAAAGCGCTGACCACCGCTGCTGTAGCCGCCACTGTTGCTGCTGTCGCGATGAAGACGTTGGCTGCAATCAAAACGAATTATCTCATCATCAAGTGCAATCTTTGTCACACAAAATGTCGAGATGGACGACGATGATGATGACGACGATGTGAAAGGCGTTACTACTGTGAGAGATGCCGCTGATAATGTGTTCGATGATGATGACGTCATAGTTGGGTTTGCTGATGTCAAGAATGATATTGCAGTCGGTAACAATGTTTTTGTCGTCGTTGTTGTTGTCGTCGTCTTCGAAGTTAATTTTGGCTGGAAGAATAAATGGCACGAGTTGGATGCGTCGAAGGGACTGACCGCGGTCAAACCGGACGATGGCAGAGATAGCAGCTGTGCTGACGACGACGATGATGGTAGTGATGATAATGACGTTGATGTTTGTGATGATAATGATGATGATGATGATGATGGTGGTGGTGGTGGTGGTGATAACAATAATGATGCAAATGCAAATGGGATTGTTGACCGGAAACCGGATGATTTCACGGAAGATAACAATGGGATTTTAGGAATTGCTGAGGCTACGCTGGCTGGAGATAGCTCAAATGCGGTTGATAATTGAACTGAATTAATGTTGTTGTTGTTGTTGTTGTTGATGTTGTTGATGTTGTTGTTGGTGGTGGTGGTGTTGTTGCTGCTGTTGGAATCGTTGCTGCTGAAGTTGTCGTTATCACTAGACCACAACTCAGTGAACGTTGATTGGTTGGAAGCAGGAGTTGAATGTTTAGGCTGTTGTTGCTGTTGTTTTTGTTGGGAATGATGTTGAAATTTTTTTTTTTGGGATTGGCTGGGTTGTTGAATTAGTTGTTGAAAGTTTTGTCGCTGCAACGGCTTAAAAAAATGTTGTTGTGGTTGAAGTTGCTGTTGTTGTTCTTGAAAATGAAACATTTGTTGGTTTTGTTGTTGACGTTGTTTGTTTTGCAAGAATGGTTGATGTTGTTGCAGTTGTTGTTGATATTGTTGATGACGTCGTTTATGTATGTGTTGTAGTTGTTGGGGTTGTGGCTGTTGTGGTTGTGGTTGTAGACGCTGATGTAGTGGCTGCAGTAGTAGTAGCTGCTGTTTTTGTTTGGCTTCAAACTGAAATATTGCCTCAGAGGCTAAAGTATGCTTTCGCTCATGCCACTTTAAATCACTTTGAATATCATCTAAATCAAGCTCGTTTAGTTCCGCATCATTACTATCCTTGCCACTCCTATCATCATCATCATCATAAATATTATCATCGTTATCACTACTCTTGCTATCATTATCTTCATAAATATTATCACAATCTTTGTCATCGTAATAAGCCCTTTTAACGTAATAATCATTAGATATAGTATCATCGCTATGGCCCCTGATATCATCAGTATCACATATGTCATTATCGTCGTAGTTGTTGTCATTTGAATTATTGTTAACTTTAGAATTGATGTTTCCATACAGTTGTGGATGAAAGTTTCTGTCGCTAACATCATTCACGCTTTTAATGTTGGTCATGAATTTGTTGTCTTTGTTGAAATCTTTTTCAGCTGCTTTGTATTTAGAATGTTTTTTACTGAACTTGCCTGTTATGAAGTGTTTTCTTCTTTTATCAACATCGTCGTCAGTCATTCTTCATCATTTTGCTCGTTGTCAGTATCAAAATAATCATCATATATCAATTATAAGTTATCATATTCATATATCATAGATAAATTATCATGATCCTTATTCATTTTTTATTGTTATCACTGATTCTAATCACAGTTTATGAAAGCATCCAGTGTGTAATTGAGTAATTGTATGCCTAATTGTACACATCAAAAAGCAATTTGCCAACAGAATCAATAGAGAAGTATTTGTTGCCACTCAATCAACAAACACAACAACAACCACAAAAACTACCACTACTAATATTATTACTATCACTACTATTACTATTACTACTACTACTACTACTACTACTACTACTACTACTACTACTACTACGTTTGCTACTACTATTACTACTACTACTACAAAATGACATCAACGTCAAACAATGACATCACCGACAGTAAAAAAAACATTAACAACGTCAGAGCAACAACATCACAATAACAAATACATGACATCAACAACACGCAATCGCATTAATGCTGATACTTTATAATACACTTCTTGATAGCTCTTGGTACTTCTTAGCCGCAACTTAAAATAATTCCTCAAGCATAAATCGGCATCAAATTTATTTTTATACTCTTTTGTATATATTACCACCACAACTACTACTACTACCACAACTACTACTACAACTACAGTTATTGTAGTTGCTGCTGCTACTTCTACAACTACTTCTGCTGCTACTACTTTTACTACTACACTACAACAACTACTGCTACTGCTACTAATACTGCTGTTACTACTACTACCAATATTGGTATTACTTATTTAACTAATGCAACTACTGCTTGAACGATCTCGCTGCAGTTGCTACTTCTAATACTACCCAAAATACTACAAATACTACTAAAAATTTTGTTGTTGCTGCTTTATCTACCGCTAATACTGCATTTACTATTTCTGTTACTGCTATTACTACTATGTGTGTGTAAGTAGAGGAAAAACAAATTTACCTAGAAATGTAAAAATATTTATTGACAACGTAAACCAAACAAGGCAGCAACCAGTGTTAGGTGCAATTTATCGCATGTAATGAATAATGTCAAAAAATGCAATGCCTATATATATATGTAATAATAAAAACAACATAGAAAAATTATAAAATAGAAATGATATCAAAGATAATAAATAGTTAAAGATAACATACCGTACGAAGGATTGAAAGATAGCGATTGCGTTGATGATGATGTTGATACCTGATATGGTTCTGATAGCGCTGATGATGATGATGCAAACGTTGTTGATAATGATGACGGTGCTGGCGATGATGATGTTGTTGATGAGGATGATAGCTTAGGGGCGTACTGCACTGGTGGTGGTGGAAAGTTTAGTGGTGAAGAGGAAGGTGAAGCGGGAGGTAGTGAATCTTCGGTCAAGGTCACCAAACTGATGACAGTAGCGTTGGAGAGGGAACGCTGTATGCTGCTAACTCTGTGGAAATGTTGTTGTTGTTGTTGCTATTGTTAGTAGCAGTGTTGTTGTTGTTGGTAGCAGTGTTGTTGTTGTTGGTGCTGTTGTTGGTCGCAGTGTTGTTGTTGTTGGTGCTATTGTTGTTAGTGCTGTTGTTGGTTAGAATTAAAATTTCATATGTTTGATGGAGTTGTCAGTCAGTAGTGTTACTATGGAGCGTGCGGCACATTTGCACCCTACCCAATGGGCTGAAGTTAACTGCTCTCGATAGCAATATAACTTTGTGAAATTTTTCAATTAAATTGTAAAATTGTATGAAAAATATTTAAAAATTCAATTAAAAAGCCGTTAACTACAAAAAAATTGTTCATCACCCCCAGATAAAACTAATAAATGCCACCGTAAGTTCGTTGGTAGGTGCATGTATTTGCATCCATTTGTGTGCGTGTGGTGTATGTGTGTGTGTGTGTGTGTATGTGTTCAGATAACGAAATATGTCATCTAACATGCCCATAGTCCATCATTAACAAACTTAATCGGCCTGTGAACTGTTTGTTGTATGTGTGTGAAATATTTTTTCGCCAGAATTATTCTTGATATTTTTAATTTTGAATGCCTGTGTTTCAATAGCAAGAGTATTTATTCATTTAGTTGTAGCTGCTAGTGGTGATAGCAGGCAATAGATTTTTCCAACTGATTCTGGTTGATGTTTGTTTCGCATGTGAAGTTCTGCTTAGTCGATTGTTGCCGGCGTTTATTTTATTTGTGGTGGGTTCATAGCAGGTGTGTTTGTCAGCCTTGCAATTCGTTTCAAAGCGTGCTGGGGTTCATTCCAATGCCCGTTACAATTCATTTAAATGCATGCTATGATTCATCTTAATGCATGCTATGATTCATCTTAATGCATGCTATGATTCATCTTAATGCATGCTATGATTAAACACAATGCATGTTAAAATTCTTTTGATGTAATGTAAGTTAAAATTCATGTTGCAATTCATCTCAATGCACTCTTCGATTCATTTCAATAATTCATTTCAAATGAAATATCACGGAATTTTTACCGAAAATCCAAAGTACCAAAGACATAATTTACAACAAATTCCATAAAAATTATACCAAAAAAGAGGCAAACAAAAACTTCAGAAACAAACAAAAAAAGACTTGAAGCAAAACTTGTTGATAAAAAAAATGAAAATCTTAAAAAATGACCCACTCATATTTTTTGTAAAGTTTTTTTTGTGAAAATTTTGAAAAACCAAGTTGCCGTGCAACGTCACGATGATAAAAGTTAGAGCCTGTTACCAGGAACGCCCTGCGAGGTTCGTGAGATGTTTGCGCTTAATTTCTATGGGAAGGGAGTGATTGTGAAATGTGAGTAGGACCCCTCTCTGTTGTTTTATTGCTCACGGGTGTGTGTACTTCATTTCTTAGCTTATACACGCTTTTTATACTCTTCTTGTAAAAAAATCTGAAAAAGTTATAAATGATACTACTTTATGATGATATTTATATATATTGTATTGTAGAATTTGTATAGCGCCTCTTGTGAGTTGACTTCCGAAGCGCCATATATATATATATATATATATATATATATATATATATATATCAAGAAAAGAACGCTAATTAAGTGAATGTTTTCAGTTGGTAGCCTGGTTAAGCCTCAACCTCATCTTCATTATCGATGTGACTGAAATCTTTTGCATGGTTCATCTTTGAATGGTGAATTTTGGTTTTTAATGCTAACAACTCATGCAGTAGTTATAATATTTGGAGTATGATATTAGACAAAAGTTGAATTAAGTTTCATAAGAACCTTCGCTTTAAATGGGGAAATTTTCGTGATGGTTTTGGTTGGTCTACCTGCGGGTGGTTGTCAGTGTTGTTGTTGGTGGTGGTGGTGGTGCTGTTGATATTGGTGTAATTGTAGTTACTGATGTTGTTGATGACATTAATGGCGTTTTTATCAATGTTCTTGTTAATGGTTTTAACGTAATTCATTGTGTTGGTGTTGTAGCAGTTGTTGTTGTTGATGATGTTTTTGACAAAGCTGTTAGTGTTGTTGTTGTTACCGTTGCAGCTTCCGATAAGTTTGTTGATGTTGTTATTGTTGTTGTTGATGTAGTTGGTGTGGCTGTTGTGTTTTGTCGTAGCGTGCCGTGCGGTATGACTGGCGTCATTTTCATTGAAATTCAATTTCGTACGTTTAACATGTGGGCCCTGTAATAATTTGTCACATTGTGTTGCTGTGCTGTTGTTCTGCTAGGAAATTGTCGTTGTATCGTTTTGTTGAGCTGTTGTTTTGTTGTGTTGTTGTGACCAAAATGAAACAAAATAATTAATTAACTAGATTAAAAATGAAATGCGAAACAATCTTTGACTGTAGCGGAAAATTTGTTTCTAAAAAAAATTGACTAGGAGTAAAAGTTGTCACAGAAGCCAACGAAACGAACGAAACAAATGAAGGTAGTACAATCATAATATTAAAAATTTAATTGACCATTTCAATTCTCGAAACATTTTTCTGTCATTTCACTTCGCTGCGACTGCAATAGACTGAAATTATTTATTTTTTTGTCACGAACAAAGGCAGACAGTTTCAGCCGACACGGTGCGTTCATTGTCAGAGTGTAGGAATAATGTCTAGAAAAAAAAACAGGTGAGGCAGTTTCGTAAAAATGCAGGAAAAATTCTAAAGGAAAATCTCGAAAACATCCAAACGCCAGCACATAAACTAGTCGAAGTCACACACGTTTAATTCCAACACGTCTGAGTTCTGTGAACATTTTAATTATTTATTCTAAAATTTTGCTTTGTTGCTGAAATGATTGTTTGTTGTCATTGCTTTTATATAGTTTTCCTATGCGATGTTTCTTACTCGCTCTAGCTTTGCCATTCCTCTTTTGATACTTCATTGAAACAGTTTATCCGTAATAACCAGAATGCGGTTTCAAATTATGACCCTATTTCGTTGACTCAATTTTTAATTCAATGACTCAATTTCATTCATATTTCAAGGAAATAATTCATTGTTTGCGCAATAAATTTCGTTGTAAGAGTTAAAAGAAATTTCAATGTTGAAGCTTTAAATGAAGAATGGACGATAATACAATTCAAAGTAGCGTTTGTAAGAATGGCGAAGAAGTTAATCGAAATCTGACCAATTAGTGAACGTGCGTCACATTCTTCTTAGGTATGACAAAAAATCATTTACCATCTTCAAGTTAGCAAAGTATTAGTTATAATATAGTTATAGTACTAGTTATAGTATTAGTATAGCAAAGTAATAATTTGTTTATAAGGTTAGAGTGAAGCATGACAGATGGCAGAGTTGAAATACCGTGTTTCATCATAAGCGTATCTTAATTCAATCTATTTTTGTGTCCTTAGTTAATATACATAGTCTGCTATCATAAGTGTTATCATTCAAGATGTTGAGCCTAATGGTGATTATGATGATGGTGATGACGAAGATGATGATGACGACGATTATGATGATGATGGGGATGATGATGACGACGACGACGATGATGATGATAATGATGATGGCGACGATGATGATAAGGATGATATCTATTATTTGTTGGTTTAAGAATTTTTTTTCAAATAATTTCAAATGGCAAATAGAAGCGGTACATGTTGTGAACATTTTCACTTATAATTTTTATCAGAAAGATAAAAAAAATTGAAATATTTTCAAAACACTAAAACTGGAAGATGAAAACCTTGGTACATGCATTTAATGGATCATTATTATCACCATCGTCATCGTCTTCGTCGTCATCTGTATCATCATTCTCGAGATCATTATCTTCATCACCATGGTTGAAAAATATTTGATGAATAAGCAAGGAATCGGTGGAATGTGTGGTTGTCGTTGATGTTATTGATGGTGGTGATGATGTTAATGTTGTTGTTTTTGTTGTTGTTAATGTAGTTATTGTTGTTTTTAATGAAAGTGTTGTTGTTGCTGATGTCATTTTTGCAGTTGGAAAGGTGGAAGTTACAATCTCTGATGTAGTTGGCGTGGTTAAAATATTTTCTGGTCTTGAGTGAGGGTATTTTTTAAACGTTTGAAGCTTTTCAAAAGGTCGTGTGAGTTTTTGATGTTGTTGTGTCTGTTGTAGTGTTTGTTGTTGTTGTAGAGTCTGTTGTTGCTGTGTTTGATGTTGTTGTGCATGCTGTTGATGCGTTCGTTGTTGCGTCTGTGTTCGTCCGTGTCTTGTACATTGTTCATGGTCCGTATGCTGCTTGTTTGTGTGCTGTTGGTTTATAAGTTGTGGCTTCAGATGTTGTTGTTGTTGTTTGTGCTGTTGTTGTTGTTGACGAATAAGGTGTTGTTGTTGAAATACAGGCTTGAATTTTTCTTGCTGAATCAAGTTTGTAGATGACGTTTGAAGTGGTCCTTTTTTGTGATAGAAAAATATCATTTTGAACCATTGAATAAAATTTTTACCTTTTTTTTCATCTACAAGAAATCCAACGGTAACAAAAAACATTACAAAAACATAATCGGTGAATTGATAAAAATTATACAGATTCGATGAGCAGAACATTTCACCTGAATATTCTACCGAATAACGTCTCATCTGCACACACACACACACACACACACACACACACGCACGCATACACACTTGCACACATACACACACACACATGCACACGCACACACACACACTCCGCATCGTCAATAAAAAGCCAAAAAAAAACTACAAATCACTAAAAAATATAAATATCGCTAACATTACAGCAACAAACACAACAACAACAACAACATTATAAAAAACATTAATGAACAAAAGCTACAACGACTACATCACAAATGACATTAACACGACAGAAGCTATGGTAGCAGTAAAAATTACATTTATGCAGTGAAATAAATTAGAAGTATAGAAAAAACATTGCAAATGACAGTAAGGCAATCAAGAGTGATACAACAATTATGACATTATACCCAAATAACATTAATGATAATAGTTATAACAACAATAATAATAATAATTATTAAATTAATTATATAAATAATAGCATCATTAACAACAATAATATTAATAAACAACAGCAACAACACAACGCAAAAACAACAACAACAGCCTCGAACCGTTCTCCAAATGAATTCCGCTGTGCTGCTTGCAATTGGGATTTCTTCTTGTGGAAAACGTCCTTTGAAATATCTAAAATAATTATTATACACGCGCCATCACTGTCATCATCATCATCATCATTATTATTATTTTTATTATTATTATTATTTTTGTTGTTGTTGCTGTTGTTGTTATTGTTAATATTGTTATTATTAAATTCGATTGATAACGCCAGAATAATAAGAATGATTGAACCCAAATTGAGCAATTAAACCACTCCCCCTCTAGAATGTATTCACTTGCAGTGACGAGCATTTTAGATTATTGAGATTTTATGATTACTTCATTATTGATATTTGGTATTTGGAGTTGGGAAATGAAGGATGTTTCCGTTATTTCGGTGACGTCATCGTTATTATGATCGATGACAATAATTGGAATGTTTTCGAAATTAAAATTTTCAACAGCGTCATTGTTATGATTTTTATAAATAGATATAGCTTTTATGGCGCAACTGTTTATTATTTTATAAATATTAATTATAATAAAAAAATAATAATAAAAATATCAATTTTTATAGCCATCAATTTGACGGTTGCCTCAAAATCATCCTCACATCATTTCATCGCTATATTTTTTGCGAAAATTTTTTCAAAACTTCTCAGGAATGTTAACAAAAAAAACACACGACTCATACATTGCATGTGATAGGGCTGGATTTCATTGCTTTCGAACCAGGTCACTACTACAGTAGTGCCAGACAACTTACACGTTACACTATATCGCTGCTATGTGGTCGGTGATAATATCATTAAACTAACGCTGAGAGGTGTGATGACAAAGCCATCTTCGTCGTCGTCGTCATCTTCTTCATCATCTTGCTCTGAATTTTTTGCAGAATTTCTTTCTATATTATTTTCATTGTTGTCATCGCGCGCATCAATAACATTTGTGCCATTATTACCGTTGAGATTATTTTTGGGAAATTTTTTCTTTCCTTTGCAATAGCGAACAAGTGATGACACATTTTGCAGTTGTTGTTGTTGTTGTTGACGTCGTATCTGTCGTTGGTGTTGTTGCTGCTGCTGCTGCTGATGATGATGATGATGTGGTTTGTGTTGTTGCAGTGGAGTACATTGATGTTGTTGTTGAATTTGATGTGATTTCTGAGATCTTTGGTGATGATGCTTTTGTCGATTTTGTTGGTGCATTTTTTGTTTAATCGAATCATTCGGTCCAGATGGCTGTTGTTCATTATCAACACGTGATGACCATCTATTGTTGTTAGTGATAGCGTTGTTGAGGTATATGTTGCTGTTAATGTTGCTGATGTTATATTTGTTATTGTTGTTGTTGTTATCGTTATTATTATTGTTGTTGTTATTGTTGTTGTTGTTGATGTCACATTTGTAGTAGTTGTTATAGATTCCAACTTTTCTGCCATCGATATAAAAGCAGTAGTCTCTGTTGTTGTTTACGAGGTGTAGGTCGCCAACAAACATGTGCCGATACTTCGTGTTCAGTAGCTGCAGTGCAAAATTTGTACTCACGCTTCAACTACTTAGAATGCTATGCTTAACTACGTTAGCGAATGTTTGAAATTATTAAGAATTAAAATTTGGAATGGTTGGCGTGATATTTCAAGTGAGATATGTTTATTAAACTTTAAATTCATGGTTGGCAAATTAAACCAGATGGTTTCTGTAAGACTTCTCAATCATTTTTTAATTATTTGTTATATCAAATATTCATTAAAAAAAATTTTGATTCATCTTTGTTGAATCCTTAAAAAATTCCCAGGTACATAAAACTTTTCAATAGACTCCACAACCACCAAAAGTATCCTTTGTACACTATCCTCAAAAAGTATCCAGATACACCATCTCTCAGAAATTACTCACCTCCACCATCTTCATCTTCTTATCCATCATCATTTTTCTCCTCTCAAATTCGCCCATTCGAAGCTTGGCTGCTTTCTTCTTCGCCTTACATCTGGCGAATCAAGTTGAAAATTTTTCAAAAAAAATATACTTCATTACGTGTATAGTTTGAAAATTTGTAAAAATTACAAAAAAAAATTTGATGTGATATAAGGGTTATCGTTTTTACGGTAATAACATTCACTGCAATCTAGATCCCTCATCGAAGAAATTGCAAATATTTAAAACATCAACCCTTTCCTCTGTCCTCTCCAATTCCCAGAGGCAGTTGTTTTCAATGTGTAGTATTATAATTAATCATGGTTTTGTGCTTCTCTTTGGAGTCCGTTTTATGTTTAATTGTTTTCCTCATTTGAATAATCAAGTAAATAATATACATGTTTAATTATTTGTTTCTACTGAATAAACAAATAAATATTATTATATATACACTTTTAATTATTTTATTCGTTTTGAAATAAACAAGTAAATGTAATCATTTATTTGTGAATGGCAAGATTTGAATTGAATTGCGAGTAGCAGCAACAACATGAACCAGCCACCACAAAAGTGAAATCTCAAAAAAAAAACAACTAACGTGTAGTACATGAGTGGGTAGATGATAGCCAGGATGATGGCCAGGATGTATATGACAGCCACAGGAAACAGATTTTTCATCCGTAGCAATAGGGCTGAAACTGTTGGGGTTGCCATTGATGGGAAGGTTGGGTGGCGGTTGTGCGGATGGTGTTTTACGGATAGTGTTGTTGTTGTTGTGTCGATGTGTGAGTGTTGTTGTTTGTTGTGTAGTAGTTGTTGCTTGTTGTGTAGTGGTTGATGTTTGGCTAATGATATCAAATGCAATCGTGTTGATATTCATAAGTGTTGTTACAAAAAAAAATTCAAAGATATTTTGCCTTCACCATTTCATTACTAGTGTCATTTTTTAAATTCAACACTCTCTATAAAAATTTTAAAAGCTTAATTTGGAAAGGCCAAAACGAGAGTAATGATAAAAAAATTGATAAAAGAAACCAACCAAAAATCGTATGTCTATAAGCTACGTAGGCTCTCAAATAGATGTTGCTATTATCACCATCATCATCATTGAGTTTATCATCACCCTTCATATAGTTATCTCCGCCTTTATCATTATTATTATGATCATCACTTTGACTCTTTTCTTTACTTAACTTCATTGAGTCTTTCTGTTCGTATCTGACTTGATGGTTAGGAGAAATATGCTGAGGATGATGTGGGTGTAATTGTCGGTTTTTGTGATGGTGGTTTTGTTGATGTTGTTTGAAAATGGAATGATGATACGAACTGTTGGCGGTTTCAACGCTTCGTCTGATAATTTTGTGGTAAGGGTCGGAATTTCGGTGAAATGATAAAGATGACGTGACATGAGATGATGATGAAAAAGATGATGATGATGACGACGACGATGGTGATGATGATGAAGAAGATGATGACGACGATGATGGTGATGACAATTTTGACGCCTTCAGACTGGTTCTAATCTTAGTAAATGGAATATTTATTGAGACATAGAGAGATAAATTATGCTGTTGTTGTGGGATGTTTACGATGATATTTTTCTCCCTCGGACCGGTCAAACATAGGCATGCTTTGAATGCTAGTTGTTTGACGCTACTGCCGTCGATGTTGTTGTTGTAGTTGTGGCTGCTGTAGCTGCGGTTGTTGTGGTTGTGGCTGTTGTAGGTGCGGTTGTTATAGTTGTGGCTGTTGTTACCGACGATGTTATGAATGTTTTTTATTTGGTTTATGTGGTTGTTATTGTTGTTGTTGTGTCGGTTTTCGAGATAGTTTTCAAGAAATTTATTATCGTAACCCATCTTGTTAGTGTTTTTGTCAATAGATTTGTTGCTGGTGATGTCATTGATGTTGCTGTTGATGTTATCATTATTAATGTTATTCATATTGTTGGAGCTGTTTACAATTTGGAATTTCATCCCGCCATGCGGACATATTATATTCTGTTCCTCCTTGACTATTTGGTACATGTTTTCTTGACTCTTAATATTTTCGCATTCATCGTTAAGTAATATCTTATTATTAATAATATTATTTTTATTATTATAATTATTATTGTCATCATTATTATTATTGTTGTTGTCCTGTCTTATTTGTTGGAAAGTAAAAAGGTCAAAGTTCATGACCCTGAGTGTCAACTCTTGGTCCTGATTGGTCGATGGTTTAATTGGAACGAGCCAATCGCAGAACAGATCATGCTTTGGCAGTTTAAACATATTTGATTTATTTATGACGTCGTCGTTGTTGATGTCGTTGTCTTTGTTGTTGTTGCTGTTGTTGTAATTTTTATGTTCCAAGAAACTAAAAATCGTCCGAATGTCTTCACATTCTGATGGATAAAAATTATTTGAATTAATGATTTCATCTATTTCATTTAACATCACATCACCATCACCATTATCATTGCCATGTCAGTTTCAAAACAATCTTCAATGAGATCATCATCGTTGTCCTCGTCACCATCATTGATGTTATCGTCCAACCAATCAACATCGATGAAGATGATGATGATATGATGACGACGACGATGATGATGATGATGTTATGATGATAATGACGACGACGATGATGATCGTAATCATAATCATAATCATGGTCCTCATCGTCCTCATCGTCATCACCTGTGACTTTGATGACTTTCGATGGATCGACCGCTACTGACGGCATTGCTTTCTTTCGCTTCTCAACAGTCTGAAAATGAACAAACAATTGAGTGTATGGATGGATGGATGAATGAATGAATGATCGAATGAACGTATGATAGATTGAGTGAACGAATGAATAATTGAGTGAATGATTGAATGAACGATTGAATGAACAAATGAACGAATGAAAAAACGAAAAATTAAATAAATGAATGAATAAATGAATGAACAAATGACTAAATGGCATGTGACTAACCGATACGTCAATTAAAAATTGTAAACATTTTCACTGTTACTGATACGATAAGAAAAATAATTTGATTCCTGAATAACATGCTAAAAATGGAAAATATGGAACACCAACTCTCATATCGAAGCAAGTCTTTCTTTGGCAGCCATAATTTTGCCACCGACCGTAATAATCGCCACTGCAGTAGCTACCACCAGCCTCATCGTCGTCACCATCTTCATCTCTCAATTCACCACGGCATATTTGACGCTGCTTAATGGCAGACGACGTTCCGTGCGGCTGTACGTCAAGTCGTATGACGTCATTATCAAATTTTGTGACGTCATGAAGGTTGAAGGATACGACCAGAAAGAGGGCAAGGGTTGTGAGAGCGATGTGGCCCATGTAGTGCATAGGGTTGCAGCGGCCCATTGTACCTTTCCCTGTCTGTCTGTCTGTCTGTCTGTCTGTCTGTCTGTCCGTCTGGTTCAAACATTGGCACTTTCAATAATTTCAGTACATCTGCTTTTTTAATGGCAAGTTTTAGTGTAAGATGGAAAATAGAAAAAAAAAAATGAAATTGAAAAATTAGAAGAAAAGAACAGTTTACCAAAAATCTTCTGTCAATGAGTCTGGTGTCCGAGACAATATTGTCTCCTTATGGCAAGATGCCACGTCAACCAACATGCAATCCCACACTTTTAGAGCTCTTTTAGCTGGGAAAACGTTAATTTGTGTTGCGACGGTTTCTAATTTTTCATTAACTTAAATTATTCAAATTCAAAAAACGACATTCATTTCAATTTTCTAACTAAATTTAATTAAATAAATTAACGTATTAATACGTAAGAAATAAATACATTCTAAAAATTGTGCAAGAAATTTACTAGTTTACATTCAACTGTTACAAACTATATTTTAAAAACTTCACCAGCTGTTGAAATAATCAAAAGTACATATCACTAGCATGTATACATACAGACATGCATGCATACGCACAACTACAGCATACATGGCTACATAACATAGACAGCAAGTATAGAAACATACACACACACACACACACACACACACAACAAAGGTCATGGTCACTCATGGAGTTACAGCAAAGGCCAGGGTCACACACATTCAATAAGTGCATATGCTTATGGGGTACAACATAGGTCATGGTCAAGGTCATTTACATTCAATGCTTGCGTACGCTTAAGTAGTACAACATTGTTGTGAACGTTATCTGCAGATGTATGGCTCCGAGAATTTATGTATTTTTGTGTTTTATAAAAAAATTTTCAGTTGTTAGTGGAATGTACAGTAAAAACTGAACTTCTTATGAGAAATATTTTAGAATCGAAAACTTCCATTACGATGGTGTCTTAGCGACTGAAAGTTCTGACTTTTAATGTTAAAAATTTTTTTGTGGTGAGGGTAGAAAGATTTCGGAAACTTGTTTTTTTTTCACGTTTCTACTAACCCATACTTTGGTGTTTCTGCAACTACACATTCGTTCGCTGCATTAGATGCTATTATATTACGTATGTATATTATATATATATCTATACAATTTACATTTTTCTTATTAATTTTTATTGTTATTCTTTTTGTTATTATTATTATAAAAAATATGTGCATGGAACGCAGAAAAGGTTGGTAATGAAATTATTTCATTTGCAATGTCGTTCGTTATTTAATTTTCAAGAAGCGCATTGTGTTTGTACTGCTATTTATTGCTTGTATGTCATGTTAATGTCAGCGTAATGTGTGGTTGTTGCTGCTGTAGTTAATGTTATATAGCTGTTGTTGTTAGTGTTTTTCTGTTGTGGATGTATTTGTTAGTCTAGTTGATTTTATTTTTGATTTTTTTTCGCTGGGCTCTGATTTTTATTGTATGTGTCGTGTTGTTGTTGTTTTTCTGGGAGTTGTTGCTGATGTTTTTGTTGATGTTGTTGATGTTGTTGTGGTTAATGTTTTTGCAGTTGTTACGGCTGCGGTGGCTGCTGTAGTTGACGATTTTGTGGTGCAGTTGTTGCGGAACATTTTTATTTACGCTTTTGTTAACGTTGATGTAGATGTTATTAATGTTTTTTGTTTTTTGCTATAACGGTTTTGATTGCATTTTCCAAACACCACAACAGCCGTTCAACAACAGTTTTTGTATTAAAAATTAAACTAAAAAATAATATGCAAGAGTTATGCGGTCTATAAAATGTAATTTGTCAGTTGGATTAATATTTCCCTGTGAATATTTGTTGCTGTTGGGTGTTTGTGTTGTTTGACTTTTTCGGCCTCGGCAAAAATTATTTTTAAAGGCTGCCAAATTTCTTGAACATTTTTGAATTTTGTGATGTAAAATTCAAAAATTTACATAAAAAATAAAATTTAATAAAAAATTGCTATGCGGAATGTATCAAACAGACAACAGTACAAAAAACAATGCAACTAACAAATGGCACAACAAACAACTCAGACCATGTTCGCATTGTGTTCGGTACAGATAAGCAAATGAAACCAAGCCAAACAGTTATTACTAATATTTTTTTATTATTTATGTTACGTAATGTTGTTTTTGACTTGAAGACGTTGCCTTTTCAGAGGACATTGACGTATTTCCGGTCTGACTTGAATGACGTCATCTGGAGTTGTTGAACCGTTTTGTTGATTTTTTTTAATGACTAAATCTGTTTCCGTTATTGTAGATAATGTTGTTGAAGTTTGGGCTCATATATATGTATATATGATTGACGGTGTCTTGCTAGTTGCTTTTTCAATTGGATGGAAGTCGTAGTCGATGTCTTTGTTGTTGATGTAGTTGTTGACGTTGTTAATGGATTTGTTGATGTTGTTAATGTAATTGTTGATGTTGTTGTTTTGGGAACTTTTCATTGTTGATGTGATAATAATGCATTTGATGTAAAATGCGTCTTAGGTGACTTGTATAATTTCATGAAGATGTGGCCATGAAACTGAATAGATTTGATGTCATTGGTTTCCCATCCTTCAATACACGGTTTTATAATATTTTATGTTTTTTGTTGCAGTTGTTGTTGTTATTGTTATTATTGTTTTTGTTGCTGCTGCTGCTGTTGTGGTTATTGTTGTTGAAATGTTTGTGTTTCATTATTACTTCTAATCCTTGAAATTTATTTTATTCCCTTCTCAAAATATACCCGCGCACTAAGCAAACTGTTATTGCAATAGACTGGGATCGCTGTTTATATCATTGCTGCTGCGTTGATAAGATTCGCAAAAACTATTTTTCTATTCTCAAAATTGGAAGTTGTCCGGCTGTGTGAGTTTTTTTTCTGTGAAGTGGATAAAAGAAGCAATCTGTGAGTAAATTGTTTCGGTGCAGACCTCCGACCGAAATGTCACCATCGGCGTCATCATCGTCTTCCCCATCAGCAACACAATCATCGTCGTTGTCCTCACCATCACAACAATCACCTTGAACGTTTCAAAAATGGTTAAGACGTACTAACAACAACTCGATGAACGTATTTCTTACATGTATAAGGCATAGCCTATTAATCAACGATATTCAAGTTCTCACTTCATTCAACATGGGAGTCACACACACGCCCATACATACACACACACACACACACACACACATCCACATGCATACAAACACACACAAACAAAACGACTAAAGTAAAGGAAAAGCTTATACCTCAAATGAACACCAATGATCCAAGCAAAGCGAACATCTCAATCTGCTTATCAATGCAATCTGCCAGGCAATTCAATTTTTCAAGCTCATCCATCAATCAGCACCGGCATACACTACTACATAACCTCGCCATTCCAGAAGAGATAAAGTAAACGGATGTAAAGAACTGAGAAAGAAAAAGCATCAAAAACCAAAGAAGATTCGTGAATATTTTGCATTTTGAATTTTCGCCTAAAACTCGCTTGCAAATGGAGACTTGAAAGTTGTAATGGGTTTTAAAAACCATCATTAGAGTCTATGAATACAAGCCATCCGTGCATGTATGTATGAAAAGAATAAAATAATAAAACCATCTTACACACATTCATTCATATGTCCATATATAACAACACACACACACACACGCACACACACACACTCACACACACACACTCACACACACGCGTAATTTGATATAATCCAACTTATCATGACCAGTTTCGACATCTGAAACGCATCTGATACACTTACTTATTACAACTCCATTCCTCTTAAAGAATAAGCAGCTTATAATAATGCAATAATTGAATAAAATGCTTCCCAAAAACTGATGATAACCCAACGAGAGCAGCGACAAAATGTTTACAAACTGCAGCATATTATCGCGCAAGTATTTCTCAATATTGGATTTGTGTGCATTTGCCGACAAGGTTCTCTGTTTGTTTTATTGTTTATCTGGATCCATGCAAGCATATGTTCGTATTTTTGTACATGCTGTCATGTTCGTAAGTCCGTGTTTTTCTGTTATTAATATTCATCCATCCATCCATCCATCCATCCATCCATCCATCCATCCATCCATCCATCCATCCATCCATCCATCCATCCATCCATCCATCCATCCATCCATCCATCCATCCATCCATCCATCCATCTTATAAAAACTTGGATAACAGATTTATCCTGCTCAGTGAACGTTCACTAAAGGCTCTCAAGTGTTCTAAGACATTTTAAATATTTATACGCATATATGTGCAAACAAACATCCGGCCTATTTCTTATTCGCTCATACGTGTTTAAAAATGTTTCATATTTGTGGGATTGTGATGAGAAAAAAAAAACACACAACCCAGCCGAAAACATCGTTGTAGCAGAATGACTCACCTGCTATAAATCATCCTTACAGAATTTATTAACACAACGTGATGAATGGATGGATGAACGGATGGATGGATGGATAGATGGATGGATGGATGGATCGATCGATCGATCGATGGAGCCAGTCAATAAGTTTTGCAGTTGCTATCTCGTTATTCTGTGATTAATGTATGGACTCAACTGACGTTTGAGTGATCCCAAAATGATTAACAGTTCCAACTTGAACCTGTTAGCTAACCGTACCCTATTAAAACGTTACACCACATTTCAACTAGATAGATGTACAAACTTGAAATCCTAGTCAGACAGGTAAAATTTGCTGTTGTAAATTATAATGGCAAAACTATATATTTGACCTAACTTATACCATTTATATTTGGAAGGAAAAAACTGAAATTGTTGATCAAAATTTATTTAACTGTGTTTACTTATTTGTGTCTATCTATTCTTTAAAAAAAAACACAATATAATATAACTGAAAAAGATGAAGAAACGAAGGACTCCAACAATTTTCATATGAAAGTTTGCGGTGAATAAGGAGTTCATAGACAGTAATGATTGCTTTCACAGCCTGGCAACCATATCGTCATGCAGTATGATGCTAAAGAGTGTCAATGTTCTGATGGTCTGAGTACATCAAAATGTGATGAAGCTTTATTGCACGGTTACTGAATAGTGAAATCTAGGACTGAGACGATACATTCTAACCGTAGTCATTGTCAACAAACTGCTGTCATTCATTTAGCTTTTTTTCATGTTGATAATAATTATGGTATAATATGATTATAATTATTTGTTGATGCAAAAGTTATTCCATCCTAATGTAAATTAAACTACAATATTTCACCTGTTTGTTCAAACATTTTCTGATAGTCAAAGACACATCCAGACTTTCATCTCGGTTTAGTTCAACTTCTGGTAAGATAAAATAATTATATCCATACAGATATATCCGCTCCT